GAGCCCGGATGGCGGAGGCCGACTGCGGGTTCGGGCGGGGCGGTCCAAGCCGCTCAGGGTAACCGCCGCTGCAAAAACGATTGCTGGCTCCGTGTCTTGACTTCTGCACCCGCCGCGTTGCCACCTGTGGAGCCGGTTATCTGTGGCCGCGTGGTTAGGGCTGGGCGTGTACTTTAATGGTAAAATGCCCCTGAGTTCAATCTCCAGTACTGCTCGCCCCCCAAAATAGTCCAACATCTTTTTGTAGTTTGGTTTTTCATGTTGTTTTAGAGGGAAGAAGCAGCTTATTTATTTATTTAATTTAGGTACCAGTGTTTGAATTTGGGGGCACTTGACCACTGAGCCATATCCCCAGTCCTATTTTGTATTTAATTTAGAAACAGGGTCTCACTGAGTTGCTAAGTACCTCACTAAGTTGCTGAGGCTGGCTTTGAACTTGCAGTCCTCCTGCCTCAGCCTCCTGAGCTGCTGGGATTAAGGCATGTGCCACTGCACTCAGCTTGAAAAGCAGCATATTTAAATGTAAGAAAAAGAGATGTTTTAAGACTAGGAATATGGCAAGAATTATTAATAATAGGTATCGGCTGTGCGTTCTTTTAGAGTTCCAAAGACTGTACCTAGCATTTTACAGTCAGAATTCAAACCTCATAATACTTTACAGATGCAACAATATCCTAATATGTAAAATGGTGATCCATTTTATAGATGAGGGAACTGGGGCATTCAAGATGGAATAGAATCTAGAACCCTGGTAGGATTGGCAGAGGTAATCCTTCCACTTATATTGGAGGGCAGAGGCCAAGTTGGGCATGGGTGTCATTGTTTTGTAGTTTGGGGGGCTAGCATAACATTAAAGATGTAGGTTTGGATTTCAGTTATAGTGCCCTGCTCTGTTAGCTTTATGAACTTCAGAAAGAGACAACATTTTTAACTTATTACCTCTTCTTTAAAATAAAGAATAGGATTATAATAATGTGATTTGTGGTTACATACTGTGATTAAACAGTGCCTGGTAGGAAGTAGTAGGAGACAAGATCCTCTGAATGGTGGCAAGCCAGAGGAGCCCTGAGTGATGAGTCAGGACTGAAGTGCCAAGGCCCCATTTCAAGGAATGTGAGTGTAAATAAACCACAACTGTTGACAACTGTGAAGCAGTAAAGGGTTTTTAAAGACCATGACATCTGTGTGTGATGGAAAAATAAATTTAGGAACAAAGTGAATGTAGGATGATTGACAACAGGACATTTAAAAGTATCCTAAGAATATGCACTTTGTGCTCAGAACTAAATTTGAATTAGTGCTTTCTTATTTCCAGGCTTTGGGATCTTAAGGCAAGATCCATTTGACAGTGAATACACCATGACTGTTTCACCTTTTTAGTAGTACTTCATTCTCCTCTGCTATAAAGTGGTACTTATGCCCACCTTGATGCCTATGGGAATAACAGGATGACCTACGTGGTCTGGTTGGTACACAGTAGGCATTGACATTGGTAGTGGTTTAGATGAGAGTCTGAAGTCAGCCACTCTCAGTGGGCTCTCATTGATCCTACTCTTCCTATAGAATGTGACAGACTCCTAGTGTACCTTACTCCTTCATGCACTATTGAGTAGCTTTTCCCTTGACTGATTCATTTATGTTTTAGTATTGAGTTAAGAGCCAGTTATTTGGAAGTGATGAATATTAGAACAAAGAGTAATTGGCACATTCTCTGGAAGCAATCTGATATTTACGTTTTTTATCAAACATCTATCGAATGTTAGCAGAAAGAGGTGTTTCCCTTGAGATGTAACGTTAGATTCTGTTTTACATTTCATAAGCCTTTTGTTCTAATAAAATATGACTCCCAGTAGTGAGTAAATATGCATTCATCCCTGAAAACTAGGGACATTTTTCTTCGGATTATAAGTCATAGAAGGTATTTTCTAGGCTATTATAAATGTTCAGAAGGGGAGCAAAAGTTCAGTCTCCTTTCTGCCCCTAATTTGCGAAGAGGGGTTAAGTATTAGGAATCCCTTTTTGGGGATACTTTTTGTGTTGTTTGGTACTCAGCATTAAACAGGTAAATGGAGTGTTGTATTGTGAATAGAACCTAAGCTTTGGAGTCTCAAAACTTACTATCTCATTACCTTATGACATTGTGAAAATTAACCAAGTTTTCCTTTTTTTTTTTTTTTTTTTTTTTTTTTTAGTACTGGGGATTGAACTCAGGGGCATTCAACCTTAGCTTACTCACCTGTAAAGGAATGTTGAAAAGAAATAAAAATAGAATTACATAGAGTGCTATATAAGACCTGGCATTTTATTTAGTAAATGTGTTTCACAAAAAGTAGTCCCTTTTATCAGCAGTTTTCCTTTCCATGGTTTTGTTTACCCATGGTCCAGAAATATTAAGTGGAAATTTAACAATTCATGTTTTAAATTGTATGCATTCTGAATAGCATGATGAAACAGACATCACATTATCCCTTTTCATCCTGCCCAGGGTGTCAGTCATCCTTCTCTCTAGCATGTCCACACTATAAAATATCCATTATCACTTAGTAGTCATCTTGGTTATCAGACTGATCCTCAAGATAATGAAGTGCATGTCCTACTCTTATTTTAGTTAATTATGGCCCCAAAGTGTGAGAGTAGTGATGATGGCAATTTAGATATGCCCAAGAAAAGCCATAAAGTACTTCCTTGAAGTGAAAAGGTGACAGTATAGTAAGAGTTTTGTTGTTTATATTTTGAGATCACATTCACTTAACTTTTAATAAGTTGTAATTGTTCTATTTTACTAATTCTTTATTGTGCCTAATTAATAAATTAAAAATGTTATGTAGTTGTAGTACAAAAAATATTGTATAAACATATGGGATTTGGTACTGTCTAGTTTTAGGCATTCACTGGGGAACTTGGATATCCCCCAGGTAAGAGGGAATTACTCTAGGTACCAAATTAGAAGTTTGCTAGCATCTTTTTCTTTTGCTCTTCTGGGCCAGAACAGTGAATCTCATCATGCAACAATTTTTATTAACATGAAAAATTGAACACGTAGAGCCATTACACATGTGATATTATGATGAAAAATTGCATGAGTATAATGTAACCCACTTTTTAAAAGAAATGTGCATTATTTTGAATACTTTTAAAAGTGACATTCCTTTTACGTATTCCTTTTAGGCACCCAAACCATTTAAAGACAAGCTTGGAAACTGATGTTGATTGTAATCCTCATTTTTATTTACTGGGTTTGATCACAAAGTAAAAGTAAAGCATGTTCTTGGTGACTTATTCACAGACTCTCAAGGCAATTACCAGATATATTTCACTGGAAGTAAAGTACTACACTGAAAAACTATCACTTCTGTATAGACTCTCTTTGGTGTTTATGTATTTTAAGTTTTGTTCATTGATCAACAGTAAATATAATTATTCACATGTAGTGAATGATAGTGTACAGTAACTCACTTATTTAGCTTTTAAGTTCTTCACAGTAAGTTTTATGTAAATTAGATAAGTGAATTAGAGTTTGCATATTTATTCTTAGGTGTATTTTTTTTTTCCTCCTCATTCCTGTCAGATGGATAGTGGTTATAATACGCAGACCTGTGGAAGCAACATTATGGATACCATTGGGACAGAAAGTTACTGCAAAGAAAGTGATGCTCAAAGCTTTGAAGTTGAGAATAATCTCAAAGTTTTTAATACAAAGGTATGGAGAAAATACATATGGTTATAGGCTGGAAGTATTTGCTGTGACTTTTCAAATCTATTTTCCCTCATTTTGTTCAAAGTTAATTATAATTATATATCTGTGTCCCCATACTGTCTATTCATTAAGTGGCAGAAGGTGGTTTTTAAATCCAAACATTTCAGTTTCTTAACTTTCCCCATTATGAAGAGTATGACAGTATGTAGGATAAGCAGAACTAGCTCTACTTACACCAGCAAGTGAAGTCAGCTCCTTAAAAATAAAGGGAAGTAGAAGAGGCATAAATTTTTGCCTCCAATGTTGATTTTGGTGGCTTTGAAGTATTTCAGAGACCTCTCACACTACACAGAGGGGAAGATAGTACAATTGAGACATTGTATATCAGGTTTAAAACACCTAAGGGCTATTTTCTTTAAAGAAATTGACTAGCCTTTAAAGATTTGGTTGTTCTGAGTAAAATAACACATTTTTTATTTTAAATGAGATAAAGTGTTTATATGAAGGTGGTTTACTTTAACTGAGCTTTCTTGATATGATAGTTTTAATTATATATTCATACTTGAAACCAATCATAATTTTAGGCACTTGATAGGACAGTCTTTTATTTTTTATGTCAGCTTATTACAATACAGTATTAACATTAGCAGTGAACAGCTATGCCTAACTCTTCAAGTGCAGTTTAACTGGAAGACCACCTTTTCTTCTTCATTTTGTCATTCTGGTATATGTAGTATCAGAACAAGTCTCTTATAAGATTCACTTGAACAAAGTTGATTATGATAAATCCTTCCAATTTCAGGAGGCATAGTTGTAGTTATCCATCTAAATGTAAGCAGGCATTCCAATACAGAAGGGACTCTTTTTGATACAGAATGTTGATTTATTGAAATACATATGTTTACTGTCCCTTTCTGCTAAGGAAATTTGCGTTTGGTTTTTAAGAACAGTTCACTTAATAGTTGCATCCTTGAATGGTCCTATTTAAACTGAAAACAGGTATTTTCTTCTTTTTCACAGGAAGACCACACATTACAGAGGTATTAGATGAAAACAGCAACTCCATCTCAGTACAGCACTACATAAAACACCTGTCAGAACCAGAGATTATTGCTGAATGGTTCCTTGTGTATTTTTATGCACGGGATCAATAAGTTGATAGTGATTGGGAGAAAACCGCTTCAAGAAACATTGCTTTTTTCTTTTCCCTCCATAATGTGAAAAATCAAGGGCTTAATTTAGAGACACAGAAACAACAGAAAAGCTCCTAGAACTTCAAGTTGCTGAATTACAGTTTATTTTTGGTCAATAAATATTTTTGTACTTACCTTGAGTGATGTATTTAACAATAAAAAATTGTGATAGAGCTGACAACTTGCTCCTATCCTGTAAGGGTCAATGCCTCATGGACAGCACTAAATTTAGCAATAGATCATGGGACAAATTTTTAAATTGAAGGCACTCTATATTTTTATGCAAAAACTTCTGAACACACAAATGAATTTCAATTATGATCTATGTGAATGAAATCTTTAGATATAAAATTTATTGAAGTAGAAAGCAAGTTAAATGGGTTTTCCTAAAATTTTTATTCTTGAATTATTTGTTCATTTCTGTGGGGAAAATTCTTAATTCCAATGAAATCACTCTTAATACCTTTTAAAAAATATAACAATTGGGAAGGTAGTATTAACAGCATCACAACATGTATTGCACTCTTGTGGGTAAATGTGAGATGTTAGAATATAATATACCACCATTCTTAGGGCAAGAACACTGTTTCCAGTTCCAGCTTGGTTAAGAAGAGGACTAGAACATGGGAGAATCAGAGAAACATTAGAATTGGGGGACAGTAGAATTCTGTTTGGCTTAAATTATAAATTTAATGGTTGGTTAAGTATGTAAGTTAACTATAGCTATTTAAAAAAATATATTCATTTTGGGAGTAGATGGGCATATGCTTATGAATATATTTTGAGATTTATATTACCAATCATTAAAAAGCTGCCTCATTCAAAAGAGAATAATTATTTTTAAGTAGCCCTAAGAAATAAAGACATATTATTGCATCATTTTCTTCCTTATTCTTCAAAAGTACTCCATAAGGTATCAGTTTATTTCTAACTCACAAAGAAAAAGTGCCTTCTTATGTCCTCGTTCATGGTCTTCATCAACATACTAATCATGAATGCCCATTAAGCCATGAGACCCATAGTTAAAGATACCATGTTGGGAAGTCTAATCACACAGGCTTTAGATTCAATATAAATTTATTTAAAAACAACTGCTGTACATAAGAGTTCTGGGCCTTTAGTAGGAGCCTCCCTGGCGACTGTTTTTTAATAGCACAAGTCAAGAAATAAAGAACAAAGTAGTAATTATAACCTAGATTCAAATCCCTTTTGTCATTAACTGATATAGGTAGGTCATAAGCTTAACTTTTTCATCTGTTAAATGGGGACAGTAGTCCTGTCTCACAGAGCTTTTTCAATGTTAAGTGAAATACAGTCATGCCTCAGTTATCAGTGCAGCACTAGTTCCAGGACCCTCTGTGGATATGAAGTCTCATAAAATGGCAGTCTGTATATAATTTATGTACCTTCTATATATTTCAAATCATCTCTAGATTACTTTATCTAATACAATGTAAATAGCTGTTATATTGTTATCATTTTGGGAATAATGAGAAGAAAAAAGTCTCTACATGTTCAATAGATATTTTTTCCCCATAAATATTCAATCTGTTGATGTGGAACCCAGATAAATGGTAACTGTATTTCACCTAATCTCCTTTGCATAATAAGTGCCACTAAAGAGGCTTTAGGAGAAAATAACAAGGTTTCTGGTTGTCTTTACTCAGTTGAGCCTAATGCCTGAAGTAGGCATAAGAAAACAAACTTGGAAAGAACAAATATAGTCTATTTTATCAAGAAGTGTGGCTTGCAGGCAAGTTTTAAATGGTTGGAGGAGGGAAATCAATGAATATGCTTTGTGACACATGAAATTTTATGAAACTTTCCATGTCCAATAAGCAAGGCTTTGTTGGAAAACAGCCGTGCTTATTTGTTCACCTATTGTCTATGGTTGCTTATGCACTGTAATAGTACCCAAGTTGAGTGTCACAGTTGTAGTTATAAGCCAACAAAGTCCAAAATGTTCTGGCCCTTTCAGAAAAGGCTTACTGACTCCTGCCCTAACGTCAGGATGTAAATGATCCATTTACTTGAGCAAAACTTCAAAGCTGACTTCCTTCAACTAACTGAAACAAATTCTGCCCCAATGAATAATTTCCTCAGTAATTGGAAACTGAAAAGATCATTCAACCGTTACTGAGTGCCTATATGATTGTAAATACTGTATTATACCCAATTGATTGATCTGCTAGTTTATTTGCCAGTCTTTTCAATGAAGTGCAAATTCCTTGAAGGTAGGAAGAGTTATGCTGTACCAGGTTTATCATCAGTCAAGCAAAGTACTTAATAAATTGCATAAGCAAAATTATTTAAAGCAACCCTTTCCCAAAATATTACTAAAAACACCATTTTAGTCATTAATAGTCTGTGATTAGCATGGGGAATAGTAAATGGGACACCAAGTAATACAACTTATTTTTATTCGTTTTAATGTCCTTCATAAAAGCCCCCCTCCTATATCATCTGATACAAATGTAATTTAAAAACCATTGTCTTTTTTATAAGCAGACATAGACATCTAAAGTACCACCCCTAACCTCAAATGCCTTATTCTAGAGAGACATTGAAGGTCAAGGATAATGATCACATATTACTTGGCAACAAAAAACTATTTTCCTAGTCACATCCTGTTTCTTGTCTTTTTACCAGTTTCCAAATATTCATGGCTGTTCAAGGATGGATGAAATGCAGGAGACTTTTTACCACACACTTAACCTAAATTAGGTAAATTAAAATGGCAAAGGTATTGTATATCAAACACTGACAGCTTTCAAGACTTAGAAAGGATTATTCTTTGCTTCTAAAAATGTTCTATTTTCCTCTGTAGGAAAATGATAGATTTTTTTCCCTACCGATATTAAATAATCAAAGTACTTATACAAAATTAATCTGCTTTTCAATGAGCAGATGACTGCTCAATTTAAATGATCTTTACAGATCTCTGAAGTTGCTATCCTGTCACTATTTCAGTGATGGATATTCAATTGAATTTTTCTGCATAAATAGTTCTGTTCAATCTAGAAATGAAGTAGTATAAGACAGATACAGTCAACAGTTCAATAAATATGCAAATTTCTAAAAGTATTAAAATGTACGTATTGGTAACAAACTATCACACACTTAGGCTTAGAAGTATTCTCAATTTTTTTTTTTTTTGAGGAAACTTTGTTTTTGATTTTTTTTTGTTGAATGACTAGCTATTTTTCAAGTTTCTTCTTCTTTTTCTCTGGTTCATTAAGGTCGGCATTTGAAGAATCAGTAGGAATGCTTATTCCTGGTATCTAAAATAATGCAAAGAGAAAAGATGATTAGAAGCATGAAATAAGAAATAAATCTTATCATCATCTGACCCCTTCTTCCATTACTACTATGAATTTTAAAATGCTATGGGATTGGGAAGAAGGAGCTATAAAGATTTTTACACTAAAGATATATGTACTTTACACACAAAATAATAGTGGTTTAGAAATGAAAATGGTATACATGGTCTCACTAGCTAAAAAGCTAGTCATTTGGGCAGTGTGTTTGAATGAATGCATGGCTTCCTCATGTCCAATTCACCCTAGTGGAGCCACTGTGATTGGTAGAGAGCATCAGAGATTTCAGGTGTGTTGTGGCTGGATGAAAGAATAATATCTTACAAAGATCTTAAGAAGCATTAAGAAAGAATATCAAGTGAAACATACATTTGATCTTCAAAAGTGCAGTTTCTAAAACCACTGCAGAAAAGGATTAGGCAGGAGAACTGAAAAGATCTTTGATTTTGGCAACAAGAACCTCAGGAGAATCTCAAGATGAATGAGGGAAATCAGCATATATTTGTATTCCACACTATTTACAGGAGTCTCTTTAAATTAAACAGAAATAACTATTTCCCTCTCTTTTATAAACTATGTACTATTGTTCCATCATAATGCAGAAATTAGTAAATTTGGTCTCACCTGTGGTTCTACCAGGGCCATTCGGATTTTTTGATGCTGAAGATTAGATGAGTCTAACATGATTTTCACTTTCACTTTATCAAACACGTGGAACACTATGCCTTCTATTTTAAGTGATGGTATCTTAAAAAAATAAAACACATTTTATCATACTACCTTATTTATTACACTTGAGGCTCCCTTCTAATTCTTTATAGTTTATCTTTCCTGATAACTTGAAAGTTTAAAAAGTATTTCAAATATTAATAAGCATCTAAGTGTTCAATATGATAAAAGTTACGAATCTAGTAATCTCAAATAAATATGACCTATTTTTATGTATACGTCCTTTCACTAAGGTGGTCCCAAAACATATTCATCAATTTCAGGATTATCACGCTACTAATTAGCAAATTATAGTTCTAGTAAAGGAAACCAAAGTTCTTGGACACAAATTATTATTTAAATTTTCTCTCAAGAGTTGTAGTTGTATTTAGTTTAGGGAGACAAAGTGTGTGATATGAGTGACACTGGAAGAAGTTAGAAACAATTTTCCCCTGGGCATGGTGGCACTTGCTTGTGGGAGGCTAAGACATACAGGGGGATAGTAAATTCAAGGTCAACTTCAGCAACTTAGTGAGATACTCTCAATATAAAAACTAAAAAGGGGGTTGGGGCTGTCACTCAGTGGTAGAGTGCTTGCCTTGCACACAGGAGGAACTAAGTTTGATCCTCAGGACCACATAAAAATAAAGATATTGAATCCATCTACAACTAAAAACATTTTTAAACAATTAAGCAGGGCTGGAAACAGCTCAGTGGTAAAGAGCCCCTGGGTTCAATCCCCAGTACCCAAAAGACAAAAGCTTATGTGTACACAAAGGGTAAAACTTTACATACTATAGAAGAAAGAAGTCAATGACAACATTCCTATGCGGGAAGAGTTGTGAGTAAAATCATACTTTAGTCACTATAATAAAATGTAGATTTCCTGGCACATATTTAGATACACAATAAATTCTATAGGGTGCAGAAAATAATTTCATACTTTACAGCTACCAATTGTGAACTGTCAAAAGAAAAAATGCCTCCCTCTCCAAGAAAACAAAATATTAAAATTACTGTACCTCATCGTCATAAATAAGATGTGGCTTTGGTTTGTCCTTTTCTTCAAAAAAAACTGTACCTTCTAAACCGTACTTTGGAATTAATACCACAATAGCATTCTTTCTTACAAACAGAATATAGGCCTCTTCACTTACTATTCCTTTGCTTTTGAAAAATAACTGTAAAATAACATACAACTTTATTAAAAAATTTTTTTAAATATTTTGAAATTTA